AAAGGCAAAGTCAAAAAAGTCAAAAGTTCAAAAGTCAAAGGGATTTAGGACCATATTACAAAGTGAGTTTATCTTTTTGATCGCTTTCCTCTTGTTATTTTGTCACAAGACATTTTGACATTTCGTCTCAAGCAACTTTGTCGTCCAGCGTTTCAAAATGTTTATTTTGTTTATTAGTTTGGCGTGCCTTTCTGGTGTGCCCGATGTGTGTTGTGACTGGTTACAAAAGCTGATAAATGGCAGATGAATGATCTTTCAAGTTCTGTCAAGCTTGCATATGCAAAATATATAGCGTGGGTTACTTTTGTTTACCACAAGGAATGCCTGGGAGCTATATGAATCTGAGTTTGACTTTTTGCCTTTTTGCTTTTGGCTGTATGACAAATCAACAAAATGTCGGAGGCCAAACAGAGAAATGTCAAAAGCGAAAGTCTTTCTTATGACAAAATACTGGACAGCAAATCGTCAAAAGTGAAAATGTTTTGTGACAAGGACAAAGTCACTTGATACGAAATTTCAAAATGTTTTGTGACAAAATAACAAGGAAATTGATCAAAAAGACAAACTTACTTTGTATGTAATATTTAAAGGCTATTACATGGGTGCGCGGAGATATGAAATTTATCTTTGAGTGTTGAAAAGATCTCTCACGAGTGAGTGCAGAGAAGGAGTGAGAGATTTTTAACACAAGAAGATAAATTTCATATCTCCAAGTGCCCATGTAATATTCTGTTTATTATATAATTATCCATAAAATTAACTTAATAAGCCTTTTATTATTATGAAAAGTTTTTATCTATAAACTAATAGCTTAAATACACATAGTAACGTCTAACGATAATTATCACATGTAAAAAAAGAACATGTTATTTTCACATGTGAAAATATCAGTTTTTTGAAAAGAAGTAATATAGGTGTTTTGTGGATAATTATATGATAAGGTCCTAAATCACTTTGACTTTTGAGCTTTTGACTTTTTAATTTTTTTATTGCCCCTCTCGGCCACTGTAGGCAACAACATTTGAGTTTAAAAAGCTTGCATTTGCTTCTAATAACATATATTACAGTTAGCTATAGCTAGGATACTGAANCTAAGTGGCTGAGAGCAGCAATAAAAAAGGCAAAGTCAAAAAAGTCAAAAGTTCAAAAGTCAAAGGGATTTAGGACCATATTACAAAGTGAGTTTGTCTTTTTGATCAATTTCCTCTTGTTATTTTGTCACAAGACATTCTGACATTTAGTATCAAGCGACTTTGTCGTCCAGCATTTTAAAATGTTTATTTAGTTTATTAGTTTGGTGTGCCTTTCTGGTGTGCCCGATGTGTGATGTGATTGGTTACAAAAGCAGATAAATGGCAGATGAATGATCTTTCGAATTCTGTCAAGCTTGTATATGCAAACTGCAGTATATAGCATGGCCATATGACAAATCGACAAAATGTTGGAGGCCAAATGGGGAAATGTCAAAAGCGAAACTCTTTCATGACAAAATGCAGGACGATAAAATGTCAAAAGCAAAAGTCTTTCATGGCAAAAAACTGGACAGCAAATCGTCAAAAGTGAAAATGTTTTGTGACAAGGACAAAGTCACTTGTTACGAAATGTCAGAATGTCTTGTGACAAAATAACAAAGAAATTGATCAATTGATTGTAGTACACTATTTAGTGCCACCCTCATTAAATAAAGTTGTTATTATTATTATTATTATCAAAAAGACAAACTTACTTTGTATGTACATGTAATATGTAGAGGATATTACATGGGCGCACGGAGATACGAAATTTATCTTCGAGTGTTGAAAAGATCTCTCGCAAGTAACCGCAGAGAATGAGCGAGAGATTTTTAACGCAAGAAGATAAATTTCATATCTCCAAGTGCCCATGTAATATTCTGTTTATTATATAATTATCCATAAAATCAACTTAATAAGCTTTTTATTATTATGAAAAGTTTTAATTAAAAAAGTAATAGCTTAAATACACATGGTACCGTCTAACGATAATTTTCACATGTGAAAAAAAGAACATGTTATTTTCACATGTGAAAATATCAGTTTTTTGAAAAGGAGAAATCTAGGTACTTTATGGATAATTATATGATAAGGTCCTAAATCACTTTGACTTTTGACTTTGACTTTTTTATTGCCGCTCTCGGCCACTGTAGGCAACAACATTTGAGTTTMAAAAGCTTGCATTTGCTTCTAATAACATATATTACAGTTAGCTATAGCTAGGATACTGAACAACAGTATTCGGTTATCTGTAAAATTAAACTTATGAAAAATATAGACCGTCATTCTCTGTCAAAAAATTTAATATAAATACTTGAATATTGTTAAAATGCCTTTTGATTATATCATTCTCCAAATCATTCAACGTAAATRTTAAAAAAATATCCAAAGATCGTTCCTTTGTCTGACCCTTTCAGCATCAATATATATACAAACATTGTATATCATACCTATTTATATAAATGGGCTTATACGATAAATATTACCAGACCTTACGGGTAACATGGGATTTAAACCACATGCATATAGCTAAAGATATCTGTTAATTCGATTAAAAGATAAATTCAAGCAAGAAGTCATAACCAAATATCTAAAGAAAAGTTATTTGTGGCGACGTTGTTGATATTTCAGACAAAAGAATGTGAAATACAGACTTAAACCAAAGCTTCGTTTAAGCTTAACTTTGCATTTTAAATGAGCAAACAAGAAGACAGAACTCAACGTTGAAATCTAATAGTTATGATTTATATTAAGTATTTTGGATTCAAATAAAAACGGAAAATTCCTAAAAAGGCTGTAGACCATGACTGAATCAGTCAAAATTTTAGATCCTTCGCTAACGCTTCTTTGATTGGCAATTAAAACGTCATCAAATAGCAAAATTTTATGATGATACTGGATATTATTCTCAAAAGAAGTAGGCCATAACTTAAGAATTAGACACGCTATCACGATTAGGTCTTTAAGCAGTTTTTACAATGAAAGAATAAGAAAATTAGAAGTCAAATGGCGCCGGTTCGTATATAAACAAACAATATACCAAACCTAATGTTGACTTAACAACATGATCAGTCAGTGTGCATGGTTCTTACCGTGGTTGTCTTGTTCATCGATGTCRCAGGTTCGTAAACAGGAGGAGACTTTACGAAGATTTCCTTCGTAGACAGCTTTGTGTAGTGGAAAACGTTCGTGTCGGTCGGCCATTTTGTTCTGTTAAGATTCGAATGACGTCACTTTATTAATGAATCGATTCACCACAGGGAACCCAAAATATATTTGTTCAAGCCATTTCGGTCTTCTTTAATATCAGTAGTCTAATAGAGTGCTCACACTAAATCCGTGAAACAAATACTAATTTTTAGCACTAAATAGTGATAATTAAACAATAGAAAACGAAGGATTCTGTATGCTGTCTTCAAAGTCTTATAATCTCAAGTCATATCTACGTTCTTTCTCAGTTGCTGCTCCGCTCCTCTGGAACTCTTTACCTTCTCCAATTAGAGATATTTCCAGTTTATCTTTATTTAAATCCAAACTCGAGACTCATTTATTTAAGTTAGCTTTTTCTTTATAATCATATTATCTATCTTATTTATTCATTCCTTCAACGTTATGTTACTAAGCGCTTAGAACAGACTTGATAAGCTTTATATAAGCCATATATTATTATCATTATCATCATCACGAAATAGTACTAATTAGTACTATTTAATGTTCACGGTTTTAGTGCGTGCACTCTATCTGTAAAATTTATTTTACTTTGGTTAACGGTWTCGACARTAACTTGCTCTTAGTAGAACATTGYAGGGCTCCACAAACGTAACCATGGACTGTTTCTAGCTCAGTTTTAACCAACCGTTTTCTACAACTGCTTTGACAGCCAAGACCCAAACTCGTACCCAGAGCCTTTATTTCTTACTGCGCATGCTCGCAAAGTTTTATTTTATTCTAATTTATTCCGTCGAGCATGCGCAGTAGGAAATAAGGGGTCTGGGAACGAAATTAGCCAAGACCCCCAACTGCCCCTACGCGCGTATGGCTCTGTTCCCCCGCCCCCCCCGTATTTAAAAGTTGCACCCTTTTCCTTGTGATCCACACGGGACTAAACCCATCATAACCTCTCTTTTTTCCATTATCTTTTTATAGGTAATAAGAGAAGAGACGTTCAGCCGATGAATACTGACTTCCGGTTTGGTCCTCTTTCACTCACTAACATTACCATGTACTACGTTCAGTATTCCTAAACTTTACATGTTGATTTTCACTGGGGGAAAACATGTAGGAATCCGCGGGGAAAATACCTCTGTCAAAGGGGAGAACAATGGCACATTTTTTGATATTCCCATAATTTATAGTTGATTTTATTATAACATTCTTGTCCATTTGTTTACTTCTTGAGTGGTTTCCTTTATTTATTTATTTATTTATTTTAATAACATCAACACAGGGATGTCTCATTCAGTAGAACTAGTTTAAAGAGAGCCCTGTTAAAAAATATATATATATATTCATAAACATTAATTAGGTTAAACTTTAGCTTTTTATTGGTATTCGCTACTAAAAAATGTCAACAACAAAAACAAAAACCAAAACAACAACAACAAAACAACAACAACAACAACAACAAAAAAAAACGTGACTAACCTTTATTACAATATGAAAACTATGATGGCGTCTATGGTGCTATAGAATAAAGCTAATTCCCTGCTAACGTTTAATCATGTATAGTTGGACCCAATCTGCCTGAACTATTGCCTCAAATGCAAGACTTCATTGAATAATTATACGTAATAAAAGCCACCTTTTGACTGTTTTTGAAGAATTTTGTTTTTAAATTTAAGAACATTTCCAACATTAGCCAATCAGAAACCATTTTTTTAAAACTTCCATATCTTAGAATCAAAGAAACCAAAAAAAAAAAGAAGAAGAATAAAACCATTAGCATCGTGTGAGAGTTGTATGGCTACAGTTATCATTAGATACGTTCCATTTCGCAGGCATAAAAGGGTTTCCCTTCCGGATAATTGCAGATATGATCGTTCCAATAAGGTGCATGGCTGTCACGAACATAAAGATGAACACAGTCCTCGTTGCCTTTAGCATTATTTGGTTCTCCTTTATTCCATTTNCTAACATTACCATGTACTACGTTCAGTATTCCTAAACTTTACATGTTGATTTTCGCTAGGGGAAAACATGGAGGAATCCGGTGAAAAAATACCTCTTGCCAAAGGAAAGAACAATGGCACCTTTTTTGATATTCCCATAATTTATTGTTGATGTTATTATAGAGTGCAAACAATATAACCGTGAAACTTTAGTAATACTAAATATATAGCACAATTTCCTGCAAATTCCATTGTTTTCTATTGTTTAATTATCACTATTTTGTACTATTTAGTAATTAGTGTTTCACGGATTAATTGTTTGCACTCTAACATTCTTGTCCATTTGTTTACTTCTTGAGCATTTTCCTTTATCTATTTATTTCTTTTAACAACATTTATACAGGGATGTCACATTTAGTAGAAGTAGTTTAAAGAGAACCCTGCCCAAAACAAAAAGTCAAAAAGAAATATATCCATAAACACTAATTAAGTTTAACTTTATTTTTTTATTGATATTCGCTGCTACAAAATGTCAACAACAATGACGTAACTAACCTTTATTACAATATAAAAACTATGATGGCGTCTATGGTGGCGGCTATAGATTAAAGCTAATTCCCTGCTAACTTTTGATTATGTATAGTTGGGCCCAATGAAAAACGTCAGGTTTCTGCCTGAACTATTGCCTCAAATGCAAGACTTCATTGAATAATTATACGTAATAAAGATCGAGCTTTTGCCTACTTTTGAAGACATTTTTTTAAAATTCAAGAACATTTCCGGCATTAGCCAATCAGAAACCATTTTAACTTCTATATCTTAGAATCAAAGAAACCAAAAAAAAAAAAAGAAGAAGAAGAAAACCATTAGCATCGTGTGAGAGTTGTATGGCTACAGTTATTATTAGATACGTTCCATTTCGCAGGTATAAAAGGGTTTCCCTTCCGGATAATTGCAGATGTGATCGTTCCAATAAGGTGCATGGCTGTCACGAACATAAAGATGAACACAGTCCTCGTTGCCTTTAGCATTATTTGGTTCTCCTTTATTCCATTTTGAGTATCGGCCTGACAAACTTGTG